AAAGCCATATTTACAAATTTTGAAATAGAAAAAGTTAAATTATTTTAGTCAAACGGTAAGTTAGAAGAACAACTAAGTGCTTCAATATTCTAGCTAATTTTTTAATCCAGGATTAAAGTAAGTAAATTTCTCTTTAAAAAAAAAAAATAAAAGATCTGTTTTGCGACAGATTTGATTGAATTATGAAGAGTGTGTACTTTTGCCTCCCATAAAATTAAGATACATTAGTTAGTTAAATCGAAAGGCGCCCCAAATAGTACGAGCTTCTTTCAATTATCATCGAATGGTTTATTCGCATTTGAAGTAGCATTTTTAGTATATGACAATCTTCGCTATAAAAATCAATGGAGGTGTGAGTGCCAAGCCCTACAGCTTTTCATATTTGTCAATTTCGGACTAAACGAAGACGACAAATATTAAATATGGGCTTCTGCCCTCGACGACGGCGGTATTTGTCAGGCAAACACAAAAGAACATTAATAATGTGCCACAAAAAGCAACAAATTTTGCAAAAATCCTTTCATTGTTGATGATAAGAATTATACTTTGAAAAGGGTTGAAATACCTCGATTGAAGAATTTAATAATTTATTACATTTAAATTAAATGTCACCCAGATTGCATCCTGATTTTGAATTCTACAAATATCGCATTTTAAACAAACTAATCACGAGAATGTTGCACTATTATTAGGTATGGCATAATTATTAAGCTATTGAATATCAACATTATATGGATTCAACATTATTTATCAATTTGGTATGAAATTTGTTGAAAACGAATCTAAAGCAGCTTTAACTTATTTCAGTACTGATTTTAATTATACTTTTTCTTAAAATTTTGACTCATTATAAAGGGGTATTCATTGTTCATGATAGGAATGGAATTCTTAACAGAATTTTAAATAAAAAAGTCTATATCAGTGGAAATGAATCTGTGTGACATTTTGACTCAAAAGATGATAAGGTTCCATATAGTTCAAACTATTTATACTTGTATGCAAATAATAATCGATCAATTAAAAGGACCGGTGCGTTCGCTTTGATGAAACTAAAGGGACTGATGAAAGAAGAAAATAACAAATATTTTGGACAAATGGAATAACCAGTTGAAATATTTCTATGATCTTTATATAATCTTAAAGATGATGAAGAGTTTTTAGCTTTTCGAGGACATTGCTGTTTTACGTAATGCAGCCAGCTAAGTACTTTGGAACGTTTGTTAAGACCACAATAGAAGTCTGTACTATTTTTATAGTCGACTAAAATTAAAATTAAAACTAAAATGCCTTTTAAAATTCGTATTATAGCGGCCAACTCAAAACAAGGGTAAAATAATATAAATTCTCTTATAGTTGTGATCTAAAAATGTATTGCAGATAATGAATTGTCTGCTCCACGAAGCTTAAACTTAAATATTTTTGCTAAAATTTCCCATTAATTTTTAATATCGACAACAACGGTACTTTCAATTCAATTTGACAAGAGAACATAATATTTTTGCAAATCTAAAGCCAAAAACTGATAGGCAGAAATAAAATATTGTGCATGGGGAAACAGAAGTATATTCCGTTTTCGTTTTTTTTCATGTTTGTAAATCACTGAGTGCGCACCATTCGCATATGAATAAATGTATGTACTATATTTCTGGGGTTTGTGCATGCTACTCTAATATTTAGCATGTAGGATATAGATGGCGGCCATATATTGTGTATTTCTGTGGCTGTCGTTGTTTGTCATATGCACACTGGGCTGGCTGCCAAATATTGATTCTGAGTCGGTTTTCAAACATGAATGGAAGTGCGCTTCGCTGAATTCGCTTTAGCGATTGGCAAGGAGTGAGGTTGAGGTAAGATGATAGAGCACGTGGCTAGGCACAACGTTCACATATGCACGTCATCAGCCAAAGGATATCCGGGATAACTAATACACTAATAAAACACTAATAATTTGGACAGCGCCTCAAACTAAGCTTACTTTATGTTAATGCTAACAAAACGTGGCTAAACATGTTCCTCACAAAGTTATCGAGCCTGTGGGTATGCCATTCATTCAAAGATAATACGAATTCTATACAAAAGGAAAGTTGCTCATTTTTTAAGCAATAACTTGTTTCCTGAAAAAATGTACAAAATTAGTTTGAAAATTATTTTGCAGTCTGACAGATGGCTTAGCTTACTATGGTCGAGGACTTCATCTGCACGAAGCCTTACAAAAATTTAAAAATATACTTGCCTAATTATTAACAAGCAAGGGTCTTTATCTTTAGGAAAGCCTTTAAGCTTTAATTTCAGTTTTCAGCGGATGACGAAAATCATCGTCAAGAAAGAAGTTTGAAGTGAAGCCCTGTAAGATTTTGAAAAAGTATAATTTACTCTTCAACTAAAATACACGAAAATCCATGCAATTGAAATAAGGAAAATCAGTATAAAGAAAACATAAAATCAACTTTTTGTGAATGTAAATATATTCAATCATTAAGTTCTTTTGAAAATGTTCCTTAAATAGCAAAAGCTTAATTATTAAGAAAGAAATTATAAGCAATTGGCCACATTTTGAATTTTTAAAAAGCATGATTACCGCATGACAGATCCTACAATGAAACGGACTGTCCTTAACGGGTGAAAGCTTAAGAATTAAATGACATACTTTTCAACAAAAATCACAGCAATCCCCACTATAGAAAGGGCATAATACTTTATCTATTTTCAACCATTTCCTAGCTAAGTATTTAAAATCGTGAATTCTTGAAATTCCGCCGGTTAGTTATCTCTCCAATCTAATCAAATATTGTGAACTCCCACACTTCAGACCAAACCTTCGCAATGTTTATTAAAGTTGACAGCAGCACACCTTCAAAAATAACTGACACATCACATTGCGAAGCCATTAAGACCCGTGCCCACTTTCCTGGCAGTTAGCTGTTTACACTTGTACGACATTTTATCACCTATCTATCCCTCGCTCCTTCTCTCTCTTTCTTACTAGACTTTTATAGCTGCCCCGCCTAGGCAGAGCACAAAAATATTCAGTCAGTGTCGAAACTCATAAATTTTTGCACAAAATCAACTGAAGAGCCACCCCCATTCGGTCTCTTATCAACTTAGTTGCCGCACTTCATTTCATTATCGTTGCGTCTCTTTGTTTTGTAACTGCAAATATATATAGTATGACATCGAATATATCTTAATCGGGTCCGATTGCTTATCTGCGTGCACGTCTATATAGACAGACGGGCCCACAAGCAGCCAAAAATAAAACGCAACTAATGCCATTTGACAACTTTTTGGTGGCATTGTGTGTGTTTGCACAACATGCGGCAATTGTTATTGATAAAGACTGGAGTGGGCTGGGGGGGATGGAAAGTGGTTGGGAAAGCAGTTGGGAAGGGGTTGGGAAATGCACAAACAGGCCCAAATGTGAACATGAATGCTAATGCTGTGTAGCATATTAGGCCAAGCGTAAGTAGCATGTCAAATTATAACGCTAATTGACTCATAAAATTGCCAAGTGCCGTGCAACCTTTCACAGCAACAACAACAACACCGAACCAACGAACAAAAAAGAATGCTAAAGTATGTAAAGTTGCTCGAATTAGTCAAAATATCGATTGAATTAACATAATTTGAACAGGGCCAACAATTTTATGATTGAGTGAGTCGAGTGTGTGTGCATGTTTGCTTTTTGTTACAAATTACGCATACGCAGTGTGTATTACAAGGCCTCTTCCCTCTCTGCATATACAGTCGAGCATCCGTAACTAAAATCAGAAAGTGCCGCCTTAAAAATAAGCTTAGGAAAAAACATGAAAGGAATGCTAAAGTCGAGCAGGCTCAACTCTTAAATACCCTGTACCACGCCACCAAAAAAAAAAATTATTAAAAAAAATGAATTAAATTTAATTAATTAAATTAAATATAAAATACTCCATACATGCATACATACATTTACATCAGAATCATGTCTATTCGTGTTGGTGTACTTGTACATATGTATGTATGTGTGCATTGGGCCTGGTTATATGGCTAAAACTTTATAATCACCCCATCATAATTAAACTTGGTATACGGATATATAACTGGATGTGTCTACCAAATTTTAGCTTAGAATAGGGTGGGAGTGTGGGTGCATCGGAAAAAATGAACAAATGCGTCCTTTCTCAGGCTCAGGAGAATCTGTATACCAAGTTTGGTTATTCTAGCTCTTATACTTTCTGAGATCCTTGCGTTCATACAGACAGGCGGACATGGCTATATCGACTCGGCTTGTATGTATCTTTTCGCTTTCACAAATTTTAAAACCGCTTTGTTGTTCATTTTGGGGATTTTCAAATTAATTTAAATTTTTGTATTTGTCTTTAAAATTGAAAATAATTTTAATCGTAATCATGGCATAGCACTATATACTAGTTATAAGTAGAAGGTGGAAACATATAGGAAGAGATTCTTTAGAATTGATGCTAAATACTTGTATATATTTTCAAGGAATAAAATGTACGTTCTATTATTGCTTTCCGATTAGGTCTAGAACTGTGGGCAAAAGAAATCTAAATCGTGTTCAACTTCCGTTTGAATGATGCAAACAGTGTGGAATTTTCAGAAATGTATTAAAAAAGTTCGTTGCTTTGAGAGTTGAAGGGTGCATCGAAAAACAATACATTAAGTCGTTCTTCCCCCGAACTTACGAGAGAACTGACATTAATCCAATAATCTTCGTTCGAAATAGAAAAATCACATATCATTTCGCAAACTCAACAAATAACAACAACTCTAGTAATAGAAATAAAAGCTTGTTCAAAAATGTTGATACCAAAAAGATGTTAATTTTTAAGTCATTGCACAAATGTTAACAAGGACTATTAAATAGGTGGGTGGACATAATCAAGCTACTTAAGAATATTCATAATACCGGGGATATTTGTTTTAATGAATTTATATGCAATCATTTTTCAGGTGGACTACATAAGTATATGCACATGAAATGTGGAATTTGAAACACTTACCCGATAGTTCACAGCAGCCACGTCAGCCAAAGCGTTTCACAGAATATATTTATTTATACTTATATATTTTTGTAAATAAACATATATGTACGTATGTAATAGGTAGTAGTAGTAGTTAAAGCGTTTGAAAGTTTAGGAGCCGTAGAAGAATGAGGAGACTCGAAGAGACGAGACAAGACGAGACGAGGAGGTCTGAATTGCAACTGAGACACAGAAGAATCTTTTCTATGGCTTACATTTTACATATTAAGTTGCTGGGTTTTGTGCTTTAGATTTTTCCTTTGTTAATAAAGCACACACACACACACACGCGAGCGTGAACTGCAAACAAAATGTATACACAAATTATATGCTTTCCTTTTTTCTGAACACAAACTTGACACTTTTATTTCATTTTTTGTTATAACGCGACCGCGACATCTTCTTAATTTGCATTTAAATGGCACACCGAGCCACAATAGTGGAATGTATAGTATAGTTAGAAAGAAGGCAAATAGAAGAGAAAGGCCAAGCAAAACAAAAGCAACTGTTGGACAGACAGTTGGACAATGCGACAGATATAAGAACCTATTTGGTTGCACGTCGCATTCGGAATATAAGGCGATGCGTATACGCCATGTTGTGCGGCCAAAGCGACGGCAGCGGCAAATTTCTATGAAATTCACAGAAAGTTTCCGCTTTACTAGCGAAATGTCGGCCCGTCCAATTGTCTATATGCCTGCCTTTTCCTTTATTTCATTTCAACATTTTTTCTTGTGCTCTCAACTCTGTTCTGTTTGTGTTCGTGTCAGTGTGTTTATGTGTGTGTGTGTGTGGGTGTGTGTGTGTGGTACACGCCTAGCTTCAGTTAAAAATTTAATCAAACACGCACACTTTGTAGCTATTTTCCCACTTTTAATGCATTTCGCCTTTAAATTACAGTAGTTGTTAGATTTTTCTTTAATTTGTTCACTCACTCTCTCCCCATAGAGAGCAAATTACTGTTACTTTATGTTGCTGGTGCTTTCTTTTAATGGTCCGCTTTTAACAAATTTCCAATACAGCACGCTCCAAAGTCTAGCCATGAACTGAGCTTCTGCACACGAAAAACTCAACTTCAAAAATGGGCGACAAAGAATAAAAGACAAAAAAGGAAAACGAACAACTTCCAGGCAGGCTGGCAGGCAGGCAGGCAGTCGAACAATCCTTTGTACGAAGCACGAACCAAAATGTGTTATTTTGGAAGGACGTTGCCAGCGGCGGCTTGGAAGCCGCAAAGTTTCAACGCTCTCTCGCCCTCGCTCTCCCTCTCTGCAGAGACGCGCGCTCTCTCGCACTCACAGACAGTCTCTCGCTAGCTCTCACGTCAGAGTTTGTTTTGCACGCCTCTTTGTCATTATTGTTATTGTGTTGTGCGTGCGTTCTGCATGCGGTGTTGGCAATCGAAGAGTTTCAGAAATGGCTAGATGGACAGCAGAAAAAAGCTAGAAATGGCTAAGTAAGTCGAAATGCAGTGCATTGTTACTAACTCGGCCAAATGTTCTGTTTCATTGGTGTAAGAGAGAAGTCCATATGTCTCCATCAGGATTGTTCTTCTTTTTTTCGATTTTGTTCAAATTCGTCTAAATAATTTTACAAAAGAGAAGTTATTTTATTTCAATTCAATCGAACTTGGAAACATTTATTGTAACATCGTAAAATCATCAATTTATTTGGAATCAATTTTTTCAGAAAAGGGGGCAAGATCCGATTCCAAATGTTTTAACTGCCGCAAATTTAAATTTTTTTCACGAAATCTAGAACTGACAGCAAAATCGCTAAGCTGGCAGCAATGTTTGCAGGTTGTCGCAGCCACTGCCGCAGTTGTTGTTGTTACCATTGTTGTTGTTGTTGTTGTTGGCAGTGCGTATGCTGAGCGCAGCTGCTCCCTGTAACGTAAGTGAGTGCGCGCTTCCTGCGTGCCGCACTGCCGCCCTGCCTCCCTGCCAGCCAGCGAACCAGGCAACTAATTCAATTTCAAGTTACTCACGTTACTCATACGCCCCAGTGTCGCAAACATACACACACACACACATGAACACACGCACACACTTTCACTTGATGGCAGTTGAAATTAGTTTTGAAGTTAACTTTTTGTCACTTGATTCTTAAAAAAAAAAAAAACTGCAGTTCTGCCCGCTTAATTAATATGGAAATGTTTTCATTTTCTTTCCTTTTCTTTTCTTCTCTACTCTTCTCTTCTCTTCGCGTGCATGCTGTGTAATATGCTTATATGTTTTGTGTGCGTATTTTCCACTCTTGAAAAGTTTTTAGTAGCTGAAAATTTATTGGCCATGCTGCCTGACTGCCTGCCTGTTTGCCTGACTGCCTGACTGCGTGACTGCTTCACTGACTGTTATAAATAGCCAACGCAATAGCCTCGCCAGCCAGCAGAGACAGCGGCGACAGCATCAAGTTCAGGCCTCAGCCTCAGCCTCAGGCATCAACGTCGTCGTCGGAACTTTTGACCTTAGTCAAGTGAAAACGTGACAATATATAAATGCTTCGCCTCATTTTTATGTTTGTCCGCCACAAATATACTCATACTCATATTTATTTTGTGTGTATGACACACATTTTAGTGGCGCTGCAGTTCAGCATTATACGTATAGCTTGGTCCTCAACTATTTATGCGCCCAATTAGCTTAGCGCGGCTACGGGTAGTAGCCTCGTAATTTGGGCATCTCGTTGCGGTTTTTAGCCTTAAAGGTTATACTGAATTATTAAAAACTGAACCTTAGCTAATTACACTAGACTCTATGAATAATAAAACAAGTTTGTTAGTGTTAGAGCTAATTTCGTGTGTGTCTATGTGCGTCTATGTGAGTGTATATGTGGGTGTTATGCCGCTAAGCCAGCGCCCCGTTTTTACGAATTATTCATACCTAAAGCTTAGTAAGCACATGTATGTATGTACACTTAGAAAAAACAATTGACATTCTTTGAAATATGGAGCTTAAGCCATGGAGCTTAAGCAATGGTGGTGTCTATTGCTTCCCATTGCAGCAATACTTGTATTTGCTAATTAAATTAAATTTAGAAGCATATTAAAACTTGAAATCGAATGCATGCATTTCCATTTGAAACTATTATTATTAGTAGGTATTGATATACATAGTGGTATACTGACTTAAATAATATAACTAACTTAAGAGGCCTGATGTAGCTCCTGAGTATGACTCAGTTCGAATCACGCCTCATCATCATCGCACAAAGAATGATTTAAGAAAGTTACTTTCAGTCAACCTATCGGGCTATGGTCAAGTCTGAAGACCAATTTGAAACAAACAAAAAAATAAAATAAATATGTTTAAATGTGTTGCTGGACATTTAATAACTGAGGGAAATTGTGGAACCCATTTGCTGATTTTCATAATTATTTGTATTATTAATTGAAATATTACTATTAGTACTCTTGTTTAACATATAACATAATTTGGGTGTATAATTTTAATTCATATTTTGTTATTTTCACAATTGGGTTTTATTTTTGATCCTACAATATAAGACTGTTATTATTTTACCTTACTTCAAAAATTCGTAGAAAATTCAGTAGCAAATTAAAGTGGCTTAAAGCTTAATCATTGTTTTGTTTTGCATTATCTATTGTTTTTTACTACATTAAATAGAAACTAAATATTAAAAAAACTGGTTAGCCTTCAACCTACGAGAACGGTTAATTCTTTAAAGATGCAGAGCATTTCTGCGAGTGTATTTGGAAATGTTTTTATGTTTGTTCGCATTTCATAGAACGTTTTTATTATTATTGCGACGCCGCGTCTGCCGCTCGCATACAATTCTATCTCTAACTGACGCCAATGGCTGAAAGCAACCCCCAAAAGCATTTGTCAATCATATAGCGCCCCATGGCGCACAACACACAACACTTGACTTCAAGGGCTGAACAATTCTCCTTTTTCCATATTTTTTTTGGGCGGGCTTCTGTATGAAAATTGTATTGCTATTTGGTATTTAATATTTGGTTTGTTTGCTTAGCGCACGATGTTTTTGGGTCTAACATACAATATATAAGTATAACGATGTATACACACATTTATAAGTATGAATACAAATTGAAGAGCTTCCTAAGACGACGAGATGACGGCTGAGCTGAACTGAGCTGTCATTATGAATGTCCGTGTCTGCCTGTTTGGGCCTGCTTGGGTCCTCCTGCCACACTTGAACTACTTTCGAAATGGTAATTGACAAACTGAAGTTGAAGTGGCGACAAAATCTTGTAGTTGTTTGTGTTGCTGTTGCTGTTGTTGTTGTTGTATTCAATTGATTTTGGCCAAGTTTTCTGCACTTTTGAACGCGTCAGAGCAAATTTGTTATGAGCACAAATACAATTTTTGTTATAAATAAGAAAGAGGGAGGTGTCCGTATGCTGTTGGCTTTGGATTTTTGCCACACTTGTTTGCTTGTTTATTTTTTAAGACTCTTATGTATTTGCTTTGCTTTTTAGCTAAATAATTCGCTGTATCACATATTTGGCACTTTTGAATTTCTTACACGCATTGGTTTTCAAGGTAAGACGAAGCAGACACACGCATTTATATTTTTCATTTATGGTGTTTCTTTTACTTTGCGGTCAACCCTTTCCACAGACACTGCGAGAAATTGAGTCTGGACTTTGGGCGACGACGACACACGACGAAAAGCACTCGAAGAATTTTCCAAACACACACACACAGACGCACACAGACGAACGCACGACACGTCCGTTTTCCTCTGTGGTCGTTACTCCACTGACGACAGCTCGCGAGCGGCAGTTTTCCCGCACACAATAGAACAAACTTTTCCACACTCAGACATTCTCTTTCTCCTATCTCTCTCCCACTCTCTCCGTGCCTCTCGCAGCCGTGTGCTTTTTGTTGTTGCTGCTTTTTTTTCGCTTGTTTGTTTGTTGGTTTGTTGTGATAAAGTAAAAAGGCGAAGCGTGTTAATTTTCGCATGTCTTTTTCCTGCAGCTCTCGCCCATTTCCCAGCTTTTCTTTTTCTTGCGCTGCTTTTCATTCATTGCCAGCCTGCCCTTGTTTTTGTTATTGTTATTGTTTTTGGTCTTGTGTGTGTGTGTGTGTTGTTTTTCCGCTGCTATCAGTTAGCAAAAGTTTTTCCCTTCATTCTTTATTTTGGTTTGCTGCTCTTGATGCTTCCTATTATTTATGGTCATTTAGTCGTGGGACAAGCAGCTCATTATGCATAAATTTAAAGCATATGGACGCACTACTGCGGTGCTTATGTTTCCATTTTATCGCCAGGACATGTGGGGACTGAAGGAGGTGTGTGAGCTGGAACTTGGCAATGAATGTGAATTATGTTATTAAGAACTTCCAGCGAAAGTTTTTCAAGATTGATCAAGAATACAAGTTGGAGGAATGAAGCTAAGCAAAAAGCAACAACAAAAAATGACAAAAACAAAATGTGGCCTTTACTTTCGAATGACAAATTATGGAGAGTATTGTTTCTTGTTACCAACATTTGTGCATTTGCTCCATTTTGACATTGTGTTTATCAATATAAATATGTGTGAATATAAGTATATAAAAAAATGAATAATTTAGCTCTGTTCTTCATGAATATAGTGCTAAGCTTTTTCAATCTTTCTCCAAAATGTTTCTTTATTTAAATTAAATTCTTTTTATGTTTGAGGCAGCATTTTTGATACCAAACATGAATCAAAATTCGACAATAAAGTGCAAGGTCTATTGAGAATACAAGTTAAATGTTAAAGCCGTGCGAGCCTGCCTCTTGAATACCCTCTATCTACTCTACACCATTTCAACTGTAAGCAACTTTTTTGTACCAATCACCCAGCGATAAGCTCCACTAATTTTGATAAATCTAAACACAATATTAGACTCATAGCAATAAAATTGTGCTAAGATATCTATATTAAAGAAGAAGTGTCCTTATTTGGATTTCAATATCGATTGTTCCCATGATATTTAAATATATATTTTTCGGCTCGTTGATAAAGTGCACTAATTTTAATGAAACTCCATAATATACAGCGCATTCTACAAAAAACATAAATTCCAGTTTTGCTTTTTTTTTGTTGTCAAAGCAGCAGCAATTAAATATATCCAACATATTTCTGTTTATTTTTCGTGCAATCCTATTGCTCTGCAAATTATTTAATATTATTTATTATTATTCATTTATTATTATTTATTTATTATTTATTTTTAAATTTTTAATACAAGTTTTGCTTGAAAATCGACAAGCACTAGTGTTGTAGCACTCAGCTTTTGTCAGCGACAGCTTAGTCAATACAAAAACCTATTAGTTGCCCAACTTGTTACGCGACTCTCGCGCGTTTCTCGCGCGTTTTATTATAATTAGGCTTTTAGCGCTGGCGCGAGTTGAGACTTGAAATTTAAAAACCAATAAACAATTTTAATTAAGTTTAAACAGTTGATAACTAAATACTCTTTATTTTTTAATGACATCTTCATTTTTGCAGCTGTGCTTAGCCTGAATTCAAGCTTCAATTCAATATTATTTTGTAGGCAGCATTTTTGCTCGCAGCACATTTTAATGATTTCATCAGCTTGGCTAACCAACAGAGTTACCTTTTAATTAGCCATTTCGTAATTGAAGTTGTGGACCTTGATGGCAACGGCAGCGCACAATGAATTGTTGTAAATGGCATATCGGAGTAGTCTCAATACTGTAGCCTTTGATTAATGAGCAGCTTAAGTGATACTGGGCCCCCGAAAAAAGAAGAGCCCGGGCATGAAAAGAAAGACAAGCAGACAGACAGAGAGGCAGATAGACAAGCCTAGCTGAATGAAGTCACTAATTTGTATTAAAAACGCATTAAAAGCCATTTTCGAATCATTGCCGGCTCTATTCATGGTCCCCAGCTGACAGGGTTTTTCCCTATTTTTCTAGACTTGTGAAAGTTTTTTTCTTGCAAAAATACGAGTATTGTTTTGTAGGGCGCGCTAATAAATGGCACTCTTTTCTGTTTTTTGCCCAAAAACAAACAAACAAATGATAAATATTGTAAAATTAATTTTTAATGCGCTCAACGAACAAAAGAGCAAAGCCAAATGTATATATAGTATATATATGTATATATATTTTTTTGATGACCTGCCCACCACCTACAATTGTGCGTGACCAAAAGCCAAATGCGTTCCTAAAACTGCTCCAAGAGCGCCATTAAAATGCCTTTTGCAGCTATATCCATGATGTGTGATGTGATTTGGACTTGGAGGTAGAAACAAAGCAACGAAATTTAAATTCAAATCTGACAGAGAGCACGCCTCAATTGTTGTTGCTGCTCTGCCTCTGGTGTGGTGTCAATGTACACATGTTCGCATCCATCCATGATTTAAAAGATTTGTTTCTTCGTTTTAGTTTTCTGCTTTATTTTATTTTTTTGCCAAAAGCCAAGAGCCACAGCAGCCGCAGCCGCAGTTAATATAAAGCAGATAAAAGCTTTAAATGACCTTCATAGGTTATAAAATAAAAATATCAAAAGCAGCAGCCAAACTCAAACAATAGCCAGTGTCTATGGCCAATGATCACAACAACGGCAGTAACCACAGCAGCAGCACCCAAAGGCAAAAAGAAAAAATATAGAACGTTGCAGACGATTACAGCTGACTATGGAGTACGCTTTACTGAAACATTTGTCAAGAATAACCATAGTTTCGAAAAAATAAGTTGATTATGGAAGTATTGGAAAACTTCAAAATCCAAATCAGATTAAAACTACGCAATAACCCTATAGATGGAACGGAAGAAAGTGCATACGAAATATATTCCTAAAATATAACTTAAGAAAACAAGTTTTCAAACTCAAAAAAAATTAAAAATCCAATAAAACTTAAACACGAAGGGTTAAAGAAAGTCTAGACCGCTAGATACATCTACATCTTAAATTAAAATCTATTTTATACCAACACTATGGCTGCTCCATTAGCTCACAGCCATGAGCCCAATAATCCTCAGAATCATTACTGGATCTGCGTATCTCTGAAAATAAAGAATATATCTTGTGTTTTTTAAAGGGAAGTTACATCAAATTCGGTGCAAATTGGTATGAGAAAGTTGATTTTAGGTTTAAAATAATTTGTAGATGCGAAAGGGTATGCAAGAGACTGGTTCAACATTCTACACATTTAATACATATGAGATTCGAGGGTGAATAAGTTAAGAATAAGAATGTGCAAAATTTTACACTTCTACGGCTTGCCCTTTGACTTCTGAAGAAGGTTAGGTAAGTTTTTGTTAAATAACATTTTATAAAAAATATAAATTAACAGTTTAAACAGTTTAAATAAAACACTTTTGAAGTTTAATGAATTATTTATTTTTCAAACAATTTTGTGGACCATATCCTAAGGAAGTATATTCCAAGTGCTTTTGGATGATAAATAACCTTCAGGCAACGTCCTGGCTGCAGTGTTCTAAACCACTTTAAAAGCTAATGTTTTGTCAACAATTTGGCAAGTTGTATATATTTCTTAAATTAAAATAATAAAGAGAGCCTGTAATTTTTATGTTTGTATTTTTTGTCAAAGTTAGTTATGGTTTTAAGTTGTTCATAAACCCTTTGAATAACCGATAGTTATCGCTGTTATCTACAGAAACGAACTAGTTTTCTCAACTATATACACAAAGGAATAATACTAAAATGTATTGCTTTTTAAACTAATTATTTTTATACCCTGTACCCGTAGGGTAAAAAGGGTATATTAGGTTTGTGCAAAGTATGTAACATACAGAAGGAAGCATCTCCGACCCCATAAAGTATATATATTCTTGATCAGCATGACGAGAGAAATCGATCTAGACATGTCCGTCCGTCTGTCCGTCCGTCTGTCCGTCTGTCCGTCCGTCTGTCCGTCTGGATGAACGCGAGGATCTCAGAAACTATAAAAGCTAGAATAACCAAAGTTGGCATCCAGATTCTCCTAGATCCGAGTAAGGACGAGTTTATTTTTTTTTTTTTAATTTTCCCCCCCTTCCCCCGCTGCAGAATTTCGTCAATAGCGTCCACATTTCAAATGCTACCTAAACCAAACTTTGCACACATAATTTATAAATAAATATCTACTGTTGTTTAAAATTTTATTCAATTCTGTCGATTCTAAGAAAAGTTATTAGCGAAACAAATTCTCGCCAGTACAACCCCCACAAACTGCAGCAACAAGTTCGCTCTTCTTCTTCCTCTTTTTGCTGCTGCTTTGGGCGCATATAACTCAGTGACGGAAGTTTACCTGGGTACAGGGTATTACACTGTCGGGCTTGCTCGACTGTAGCGTTCTCTCTTGTTAAAATTGTTCACTTAAGAATGGCTGTTTCATATTTTGTTAAAAATATTTATTTTCTATGAAAAGTAAGGGGAAAGTTTTACTGGAAAGTATAAAGAATAGAAGAAGATTATAACCTCAAGTACCACAGAAATAAAATATATAAATATATTATATGCATATGCATCTGACTCTGATCAACTCCTACAACTCTCGACCACTCGGTTGCCAACACTGTCAAAAAATATACCCAACTTGTGCAGAGTTTCGATAAAGAGTATACAAATCGAAGCGCGCAAAAACAAAAATACCAAATCAAATTAAATCATATTAAAATTTAAATAAATTCACTTTATAGCAGTTCGCATATTGGTGACAATGTAAAGTAAACAATAAAAATTGGCGATAAATAAAATAAAGTTGCTTTATTGTTTATTGCAGCGGCGACT